TAGGCGCGCGAAGTGCCGAAAGCATCTGGGGTATTGTTTTTTTTTGAGCGCCGAGAGCGCGAAAGTGTTAAAATATAAAAATGGAAACCACGTACAAAACTCGGGCAAATCATAACATAGAACGAAAAGGCAATGTAAAGTATCTGGTTGTACTCATGTCGGAAGATCTTACTTTTAACCCTTAAAGTGCGCATCACGTCATATGACATGTAGGACGTTGTTCCAGTCAACTGCGCATCACGTCATATGATGTGTTGGAGTACTACGCAAGATTTAAACGGCCCGCGGATACACGGGGGTTCACCACACCTTCATCAGGGCTCTTGTAAACAGACACCATTTTTAAAAAAATCGTGGGCAAAACTCCCGGGTGTTATTGGCCTCAGTATTGAGTGAGCAACCAAGCCTGACGCACGCAGCATGAGCTAACTGCACTGCTGTTCAGCTTGTGACCACAGCATCGCCTAAAAATGCCAAAATATACTTGTTCATGCTATTATGTAGCGATGATATTATTACAGAAGACCCCTGACTGTGATAAAACTGACCAGGGTTCTGATAATAGCAGGATTGTGGTGATATTTAGTGCTCTGCGCCATGGAGGGAGGAGTAATGCTGTGGGAGGGAGGATGGTGGCATATTTGAGTACAGCAATGATTCACTCATTTTATTATATAAATATATCAAACTACACACTATTGAATAATATTACAGCAAAAAAACTATGAAAAATCAATCAGAGACATTGAAATAATTAGGTAATTATCTCTTTGTGGCAACCCCGGCCTGACAGCTGGCGATCAACAGACCGCCTGGGACGCATGCTGAGTCAGCGCCTATAATTTGCCAGACTTCCCCGCCCTATAGCAGGCAATATATGCCACTTACAATTTTTTTATTATTTTTCCCGTGATCAGTGAACACAAATTAACAGGTTAGGAAGAAAAAATAATTTTTTGTTTTTTCAAAATGACATGCGCCTGTGGGGATGACAGGATATTAAACCCCGAGCATGTTAAGGGTTAAAGAACACAATAAAGTAGCCGTCACAACTGCAAGAAAAATGACAGGTTGGATAACAAGAACTTTTCACACTAGAGATGCTATACCAATGATGATACTTTTCAAAACGCTTGTGCTCTCTAGAGTGGAGTACTGCTGCACAATGACAGCCCCTCTCAAAGCTGGAGAAATTGTGACCTGGAGAGCGTGCAGAGATCCTTTACTGCTAGAATCCTCTCAGTAAAACATCTAAACTATTGGGACCGACTAAAGAGCCTAAATCTGTACTCCCTTGAGCGCAGACGGGAGAGATACATAATAATTTACATGTGGAAAATATTAGAGGGGCTGGTCCCAAACCTGCACACAGAAATAACATCACATGAGACCAGAAGACATGGCAGGATGTGCAGAAAACCCCCGTTGAAAAGCAGAGGTGCAACAGGTACTCTGAGAGAGAACTCTATCAACATCAGAGGCCCGAGACTATTCAACACGCTTCCGCTACACATAAGGGGCATAACTGGCCGACCCCTCACAGTGTTCAAGAGAGAACTCGATAAGCACCTCCAAAGGATACCTGATCAACCAGGCTGTGACTCATATGTCAGGCTGCGAGCAGCCGTGTCCAACAGCCTGATTGATCAGTCCAGCAACCAGGAGGCCTGATTGACGACCGGGCCGCGGGGACGTTAAGCCCCGGAAACACGTCAAGGTAACCTCAAGGTAAGGTAGGGTGGCAGCTGGAGGAAGCCGCTTGCATATATTGTTCGACCGCAGAAGCCGCAAACAACAAAGGGCAAAAGGGTGAAGACAATCCAAGAGCCAGGGGCCCAAGCGGATTCCAAGGAGGAAGCAAGCACCACTTACCGACATGCGAGGCGCGCAGTGAAAAACCGCAACAGTGCATCCCACAGGATCGGCACAAACAGCTTCAAAAGCTCAGATGATGCACGAGCAGCCGAAGTCAAGGCGCTACACCCAGGAACAGCCCGAAGCGCCTCTACATCCTCTGTAAGCCAGTTGGAAGACAGCTCAAGGATGGAAAAGAAATGCAGGACTGAAGTCAATGAGTCCCCGAGCGCGCAAGTCCTCAGCCATACGCACAGCCGATAGGAAAGGAACCTGAACAAGAAGCTGAACCTCACCAACATCTCGCAGAAGAGCTGGAGCGAAAAGGCATTCATTAAGGTGTGTAAAATTGCCCTCCCCAGGTAAACCTGGACCACACTCAACATATTGCCCCACTCAGGAGTGCTGGTATGACAGAAGGTGCGGGAACGACTCTGGAAGGATGGAACCGAAGGACCCGCAGGGACATGGAACCGAAACCAAATCCAACTCGTACGCAGAGGGGGGAAAGGAAAACCCCACTCCTTGTAACAGCAAGCCCTGCTCAGAGGGTCTGAAAACCCAGGTGGGGTCCAACGGGGGCCCAAGGCCCCCAAGACAGCTCCTCCCCATCCCTGGGAACCTCCATATCAGGTCCCAGAGACATCCTCCAAAGCCCCAGCCTCATAAGAAAAAGCCAGGGCGGCCAGAATGGCAGGACGAGGATGGGCCCACTGATCAGACCCCCAGAACCACGGCTGGAGGAACGGATTCGAATGCCTCCATAGCCACCCTGCAACAACCTAAACCTATCTTGCAACGAGCGAGCAGCCTGCACCCGAATAATATCAGCATCAGATTGGGTGAACTGAGTCACAAACAAGCAACAAAGCTCGCGGGACTCCGGGTCGAATGTGTCACCGACCCAACAGGCGGCAAGACGGAGGCAAAAAAAATGAGCATCACCCTGAGACAAGGGGACAGAGCAACCCTCAAACTCGCAAAAAGCGAGAGGAGGACTCGGGGGTCACATCCATTGGACCCAGGCAGGGTACTGCTAACCTACACCCAAGCTACCAATCAACTCTGCTAATGCTGAATCCCCAGAACGTGTCCACTCAGGAGGGCGAAGCAGAGGGTACCACCAAACACAAACAACCCTAATATAAAGATTGGGAAAGAACACCAAGGCAGATCCCCCACCAGGCAAAAACAAAAGAAAAACCTCGCAAGAGGACAGTGTACCCAGAGGGAACAGATCCGGCCTCTGTTATAGGTGAAAACTTGCTACGCAGTACACTGCGCCCCTACCAGTGCAAAAACTGCCACTTACCCAAGGCAAACTAGGAAGGAAACCCCCCAAAACACTCAGGGCTGTCAATGGCCAAGCAGCAAAAGACCAACAGAGGTAGACCCAAAGTGACTTGTGGAAGGTAACCCCAAGCCCCAAGTGCAGTACTTACAGGGCACTCAGGGAAGATCACCCTAGTCACATGAAATAGGGCAGAAAATAGGACAGACGCAAGCCAGGACAACTTTGGAACCTCATAACGAACTCAGTAAGGAAACGAAGATCCAACCTGAATGAAGACAAATCTATTCAAGAGGTGTAATCCAGGTTGCACAGGAGGTAAGCCGCAATGGCCTCCTGCGCCACATGAGGCAGGATGCAGGATGCCAAAACCACCGGAAAGATGGGATCAACAGATCCGAAGGTACACGTAACCGAACCCGAGAAGGTGCTGAATCTAACTCGTAAGCGGAGGAGGGAAAGGAAAATGCCAATCCCAATAACAACAAGCCCTGCTCAGAGGGTACAAAAATCCAACCGGGGTCCAACGGGGACCCAAGGCCCTCAAGTCAACCCCTCCCCAGCCCCAGAAACCCCTCACAGCATGACCCCGGGGCTGAGCCATCCTCCCAAAGCCCCGGCCTCAAAAGAATAAGCCGGAGCAGCCGTAAAAGCAGGAAGGAAGGGGCCCACTGGTCACACCCAGACACCTTGGCAAGAGGAACCAGCTCAAATGCCTCTGTAGTCACCCCGGAAGGGGCATCCCCTGAGACTGCCCAAGTCTGACTGCCCAACCAACTAAACCCTGCCCTAACCTCTTGTTTTTGTAGAAAAGAGAAATGAAATTTCTGAAATACAACAAATGTCAAAACGGTTCGTTCGGTGTTTGGCAGGTAGGCTACTCCATTATAACAATCTTTCTTTGTTTCAAATGTGTTCCATTTGTTTTGTATTTGTCATTTACGTCTCAATAATGGAGCAGCCTACCGTACATACACTGCACAAACCTTTATGACATTTTTCTTTCTTCAAATGTGTGTAATATTTATTTTTCATTTGTCTTATAGCAAAAGGTTAGTTTGGTGGTCGGCGGGTAGGCTGCTCCATGTTTCTTACATAAAAAAAACATAAAAAAAATGAAGAATTTTGAAAACCAGAATAAATGTCAAAAACATTCGTTCGGTTGTCTACAGGTAGGCTGCTCCATGTTTCTTAAATAAAAAAATGAAAAATAAAAAAAAGTTGAAACAATTTGAAAAATGGACAAATGCCATAAAGGTTCGTTCAGTGTTTGTCGGTTCGGTTCAGTTTGTCAATAAATAGGTTCATAAAACCTATTTATTGTTTTATGAACATAATTATTGAATCACTAATATGCACACCATAATTTTGAAAATACCGATGGTACACACATTTTATCATATAAATATATCACACTACACACTATTATATAATATTACTTAAAAAAAAAATAAGAAAAAATCAATCAGACATATTAAAATAACTAGGTAATAATATCTTTGTGGCAACTCACATCTGACAGCTCGGGCGGAGCAGACCGCCTCCGACGCTTGCTCTATCAACGCCTCTTTCTTGCCAGACTTCCCCCATCCTATTGCAGCCAAAATATGTCACCTACGATTTTTTTATTCTTTTTCCCGTGATCAGGGAACACAAATGAACACTTTTATAAGACGATGAAAGAATTTTTTGGATTTTTTTTGTTACGCCTGGCAGTGTTGCAGGCCAAAAAGCCCTTAGTGGTTTGAGGGTTAATAGCCTAGCTATGTAGAGTTAAATGAGTGCCATAAATTAATAATTTGACATGCAAAATTGTGGCTAAATATTCTCAACTTAGGACAAATAAAATACAAACCTTTTTACTTGTTTTAGGAAGTAGTTCAAAAAGGGGCGAGACTTCAGCTTCAGTGCAGGGAGATATTTCTTGCGGGAGGGAAGGTGCCATTGCTTTCATCGTATTCAAGTCTTCACTTTGCATGTCTGCTTTTGTCTTTTTACTAGTACAGTCATCTAAAGTATTGAATGGAAAATTTCTTTTCCCATTTACATTTAATTCACTTGTGTGCACTCCTGACCGCGCATCGAGAGATATTTCTTGCAGGAGGGAAGGTACCGATGTACTCAACTTGTCACAATTCTCAGACTTTGTGCCGGCTTTTGTCTCTTTACTAGCATTGTTATGTAAAGTACTCAATGGAAAACATCTTTTTACATTTATTTTCGATTCATCTACGTGCACTCCATGTGGTGTGGAACAAGAGCCTCTCTTAGACTCGACGCCATTTTTATCCACCCTACAAGTTCCCGAACAGTTGCCTTGGGGTGAGGAAACTGTGGCAGAGACCAATAATACATCTAGATCATCACTATTGCTATCACTTACATCAATTACTTCAGGGGATGATTTTGTAGTCAAAAAGTCTGTATGCACTGTCTTTGTACTCTTGTTCCTTCCTTTTAAATCTTTTGATTCCGTTTTTTTGTTACATATGTCTTCGGATTTTCCCTGAGTGTTCAAATTTGTAGAGGTCTTCTCAATAAAGGGCTTCTTTTTTCTTCTCCTTTTCCTCTTCTTTTTATTTAAAATAGTTGGTGGTGGTATACTATCAATTGCATTTCTCTCGAATGTTACATCTAAACAACCACCAAGAGTACCTTTGTCTGATGGCAGCATCTCTGCTTGAGAAATATTTTTGGTGAACTGTGAAGCAGCACCTATACTGCCACACCCTACAGGTGCAGGTGTTGCAGCAGAGGTAGGGTGGTGTGAAGAGGCACCTATACTGCCACACCCTACAGGTGCAGGTGTTGCAGCAGAGGTAGGGTGGTGTGAAGAGGCACCTATACTGCCACACCCTACAGGTGCAGGTGTTGCAGCAGAGGTAGGGTGGTGTGAAGAGGCACCTATACTGCCCCATCCTACAGGTGCAGGTGTTGCAGCAGAGGTAGAGTGGTGTGAAGAGGCACCTATACTGCCCCATCCTACAGGTGCAGGTGTTGCAGCAGAGGTAGGGTGGTATGAAGAGGCACCTATACTGCCCCATCCTACAGGTGCAGGTGTTGCAGCAGAGGTAGGGTGGTGTGAAGAGGCACCTATACTGCCACACCCTACAGGTGCAGGTGTTGCAGCAGAGGTAGGGTGGTGTGAAGAGGCACCTATACTGCCCCATCCTACTGGTGCAGGTGTTGCAGCAGAAGTAGGGTGGTGAGAAGATGTCTCATGCAGGTCTTGGCTTAATGGTAAAATTACAGGTTTATCAGTTGGAGGAAGAATATAGATTTTTGTAGTCTGTCCTGGTTTATAGGGAACATAACCAGGTGGCATGGACTTCTTAAGTAGTTCATGTATGTACAACCTCCCTCCTCTTATCAGAGGGGCTGTTGTTGTGAATATTTTTGTTCCGGGTTCAAGTATCCTTCCTCTTGCAGTAATAACCTGCAAAAAAGACATCCAAATTATTACTGAAGAATTTAAGGGATTGTAATTGCTGTACTACATAAGCATCCTGTTGAATATTGAGCAGATAGGAAATTTGAAGATAATCATAAAAAACCAGTGTTGAATGTAATGAAACACCATTTTCTGGTGAGCCCCGGAGGCTCCCTGAAGTTTATCGGGCTAATGTATGTTATATTAGACCAGATTAGCTATGGAGTTCAGACCTATTAGGGACCAGGGCCAGAACCTGGCCCCTTCAGAGATATTTCATGGAGCAATGGCCTTAGAAAACCCCCCCTATGACTGTTTTTTTTTCCTTATCTGTCATCGACCTGGGTTAGGCACCCAGAAAGGTAGGCAAAACAAAACAAAAACACACAAGGTAAGAAAATAACAACAAAAACCGAACAGAAATGTAGAACTCCCTACAATCCCAAGGAAACAAGCAAACGTAACACACTACTGCCGTGCCGCTCATCAGCGCAGCCCTCTGCTCACCGAGAGGGGGAGGGGGCCCCGGACCTCACCACACCAGCTGCAAAGCCCTCCAGTTTGGAAGCTAAGCTTCAACAATCACAAAAAAAGTCGACCGGTGGGAGGGAGGGTTGCCAAGGAGCCTCCGGGTCTCACCCAGAAAATGGCGTTTCATTACATTCAACGCTGGTTTTCTGAGAGGAGCCCCTACGGCTCCCTGGAGCTTCATACCCAAAGAGAAGGAAAAGAAAGGGCTGATCCGGGAGGCGGTCGCCACAAACTCCGCAACACGAAGTTGAGACAACAGGCTGCAACCTGCAACCCAAAGCAACCCAAGAACACCCAGGAGCAGACATGCTCACAAAATAATGGGTGGCCAGGAACCTGTACGAAATCCCTGCACCCGAACAGAGCCCAAGACATGTTACTAATCATGCCAGCGAAAGCTGCAAATGTCCGAATGGCATGGGCCCGAGGATAGACCACAGGCTGGTTAGATTTAATAACCCTGTAATTACCTAAGTGTAGTTACAGGATGAGAGCTACGCTCGTGGTGTCCCGTCTTCCCAGCACACTTTGTCATATAACGCTTTGAAACTACTGGCAGTCTTGGCCTCCACCACCTTCTCACCTAACTTGTTCCAACCATCTACCACTCTGTTTGCGAAAGTGAATTTTCTTATATTTCTTCCGCATCTGTGTTTAGCTAGTTTAAATCTATGACCTCTTGTTCTTAAAGTTCCAGGTCTCAGGAAATCTTCCCTATCGATTTTATCAAGTCCTGTTACTATTTTGAATGTAGTGATCATATTGCCTCTTTTTTCTTCTATCTTCTAGTTTTGGCATATTTAATGCCTCTAACCTCTCCTCGTAGCTCTTATCCTTCAGTTCTGGGAGCCACTTAGTAGCATGTATTTGCACCTTTTCCAGTTTATTGAGGTGCTTCTTAAGATATGGACACAACACAACCACTGCATATTCTAGCTTTGGCCTAACAAAAGTCGTGAACAATTTCTTTAGTATATCGCCATCCATGTATTTAAAAGCAATTCTGAAGTTAGAAAGCGTGGCATAGGCTCCTTGCACAATATTCTTTATGTGGTCCTCAGGTGATAGTTTTCTATCTAGAACCACCCCTAGATCTCTTTCTTTATCAGAATTCCTTAAAGATTTCTCACATAATATATAGGTTGTGTGGGGTCTATGTTCTCCTATTCCACATTCCATAACATGGCATTTATTAACATTAAATTCCATTTGCCAAGTGGTGCTCCATATACTTATTTTGTCCAGGTCTTCCTGAAGGGCATGACAATCATCTAAGTTTCTTATCCTTCCTATTATCTCAGCATCATCAGCAAACATGTTCATATAATTCTGTATACCAACTGGTAGATCATTTATGTAGACAATAAACATCACTGGTGCAAGAACTAAGCCCTGTGGTACTCCATTTGTGACATTTCTCCAGTCCGATACATTGCCTCTGATTACTGCCCTCATTTTTCTATCAGTCAGAAAATTTTTCATCCATGTTAAAAGCTTACCTGTCACCCCTCCAATATTTTCGAGTTTCCAGAACAACCTCTTATGTGGAATTCTGTCGAAAGCCTTTTTTAGGTCCAGATAGATGCAGTCAACCCAACCATCTCTTTCCTGTAATATCTCTGTGGCTCGAACATAGAAAGTGAGTAAATTCGATACACAGGATCTTCCAGATCGAAAACCATACTGTCTGTTTGATATTATATCATTTCCCTCCAGGTGTTCTACCCATTTAGTTTTGATTAGTTTTTCCAATACTTTCACTATTACACTTGTCAATGATACAGGTCTCTAACTGTGGTCTACCTGGGAGACCCACGTTCTGGAACAGGAAACGAGGGAAATCAAACCAACCCAAGCGCATCCCCAGCCATGGCACGCAGGTAACGGCGAAGCGCCACAACTGGAAACAACACATGACGCATCCCTGGCCGAACCAACCAAGCATCAAAAACCCAAGGACCCCTCCGGAAAGCAGCCGTCTCAGCCTTCACCAGAAAAGGTGGATAAGGTTGCAAACGTACAAACCTACCACCAGTACCAAAAGAGCAGAAACCCCTACGCCGGAGGAGAGCTGGAAGCTCCCCGACCCGACCCTCAGAGGCCAATGCCAACAAAATAAGACCTTTGAAAAACAATCTTGAACCGAAGGGGCTACCACAAACCGAGGAGAGAGGAAAGCACCCTGACCAAGGACCAGGACGGCTCAGGTGGCCCATGAGCAGGCTGGAGGTGAAAGAAAGCATGAAAAAGCGTACAGAACGGGGCGAATGTGACGTCCACCCTGAATGCAAGCTGGAGCGGCTCTGCCAGTGCCGCACGATATGAGGAGACAGTAAGAAGCATCAAATAACTGTCCGAAAAACCAAGAAAGGACAAGACAACCTGATGCGAAAGAGAAGACAACCTACGAAGAGCAAGAAAAAGGCGAATAGAAACGCCAGGAAATTTCATACTGTCGCCGAGACGAAGCTCGCAGGTGGGACACCATCAACGAAGCCAGATGATCACCATAGAGATGGTGATACACCCGCGTCAAAAGACTAGACACGAATGGCCAAATAGAAAGCCGAACCAACCACGTACCGGACCGGTCCAACCTGCCGAAAGAGGAGCTACGGGAAACGCCCCAGGTTCGTACACCGATCAAGGAGCGACTGAAAACAAAGCTGGGCTGGCCACCAAGGGGCAACAAGGACTACTCTGCTTGGAAAGGACTCCAACAGAGCCAGAACCCGAAGCAAGAGCTAGACTGGGGAAGAGGTACAGGTAACTCTACCTTGACTAGTCCTGCCGAAAAGCATCCACCACGGATGCCTCTGGATTCCAAATTATAATTTATATAGATGTGATAGAAAAACTAGGTCAAATGGAGGAGTAGGTCTGTATATTAAAGAGGACCTGGTATGCACAGAACTACTAAACTCAACTAATGAGGTGGTAGAAGTACTTGGAATTAAGGTAGAGAAACTAAACCTAATTATTATTCTAATATATAAACCGCCAGATACAACGGTTGAGGAATTCACAGAGCAGATGCACACTTGATAACCTAGCAAACCCAGCTCCAGATATTATCTTCCTTGGAGATTTCAATTTACCGAGTCTAAGATGGAAAATGGCAAACACAAATATCAAAGTAGGGAATGACCCGGGAAATAACCAACCACCGGTCAGAGAACTTTTGAGATTCTGTGACAAATTCTCGCTCAATCAACAGATTACAGAACCCACTAGGAACGAAAACACACTAGACTTGTTATTCACAAACAATGATGAACTAATCAGAGACATCACAATCTCAGATACTTTATACTCAGACCATAAGCTCATTGAAGTGCGAACTAGCATAAATAACAGTAGTAGGTCTAAGAGGCCCAACAAGCGAGAAGGAATATTCAATCAATTCAGTAGGCCTAAGAGGCCCAACAAGCGAGAAGGAATATTCAATCAATTCAATTTCAACAATAAGTGGATCGACTGGGAAAAAATAAATGTAGACCTTGCAACCATTCAATTGGAGACGGTCTTAAGCGACAAAACTCCCACACAGTTTGTTGTGTGTTGATAGTCGGTGACTTCAACTTGAAATCCATAGACTGGGAAGCATATGAAGCTAAAACAGAAGATTTTTGGACCTGTAAATTTGTAGACCTCATCCTGGAAACATTCTTGTATCAACATGTTAAACAAGCTACGAGGATGAGGGAAGGGGACGTTCCCTCCATGCTAGATTTGATATTTACCAGGAAGGAGGAAGAGATATTTGACATTCAGTACCTTCCTCCCTTGGGTAAAAGTGACCATGTCTTTTTGGGAATAAAGTATGCAATGCGTTATAAGCTGGAAGAAAATAAGGAGGTTGAAGCAGTTGAAAAACCAGACTTCAGGAGAGGACATTATGGTGACCTTAGAAATTTTTTTAGTGAGTATAATTGGACAGACTTGATGCTAGGCAAGGAAGTGAATGAGATGTATGGCAAGTTTTGTGAAATATATGATAAAGGCACAAAAAAATTTATACCAAAACAGAGATGCAGGACCAGAAAACAGGATTGGTTCGACAGAAATTGTGAGAGGGCAAGAGACCAAAAGACACAAAAATGGAATCAGTATAGGAAGAGGCCAAACCCCCAAACATACCAGCGATACAAAGATGCGAGAAACAATTATACAGCAGTAAGGAGAGAGGCAGAAAGAAATTTTGAAAAAGGGATAGCAGATAAATGTAAAACAGAACCGGGCCTATTCTACAAATTCATAAACAACAAATTGCAGGTAAAGGATAATATCCAGAGGTTGGAAATGGGAAACAGATTCACGGAAAATGAAAAGGAAATGTGTGAAACATTAAATGAAAAGTTCCAAAGTGTGTTTGTACAAAATGAAATCTTCAGAGAACCAGACACAATAAGAATTCCAGAGAACAACATAGAGCGGATAGAGGTGTCTAGAGATGAAGTGGAAAATATGCTAAA